AATATGAGGAAACAACATGGGCACAGTTGGATCTCAAATAACCATGCTTACTAAAAAGACACAAACATGCCAGGCCTAGCTACATACATACACGCTGCTGCATGATGATTTCTGAAGGCTACTAAAACAGAACATGGTGAGCAACACGAGAGACCTCACACACTATTTAAATGGATGCTACCCTATTCCTATGCACAACAGGCCTCATTGCCAGTAACAGCGTTTCTGAAGGCTTGGTGACACCTGTGCAGCCCCAGTTGCCTTCAGTGGGCTTGCCAAACTGCTTGGAACAGTTGTCCTGATGATGCTCAAGGAGGAATAGAAACCAGTTCACCCTCTCAGTTGTGCTGGCTCCAGCTGGGCTAACTCAAGTAAAAAGCAGGTGGAAAAATCATTTTTATTCCTAAATACAACAGATTTATATCCACAGACAGGATCAGTGGAGTGAGAAGGTGCCGTTTTTATATAGTCACTTTTCAGTACAAGCCACACTTAAGTCCTAAACGTGTGTGCTTTTAAGCTCAGAGTAGAGTTCAGTGTGTGAGAAACTGCACACCACATGACAACATAAAACCTGCCCTAAAGAGTTTGCAGTCTGATGATGCAAACTGTACAGCACCGAGCAAAATGGAGCCCCATTCTGGGTTGGTCCCTAGGCATAATAAATATGATTAACAACAACAGTAGACATGATGGAGCAAGTGATAGTTACAGGCAACAGGTGGGGGAAATAGGAGGGGCTGGGCAACAATGGGCTACAAAAGATCATGTAGGTACTTAGTTATTATGGACACATCTTTTTATAAAATACATTCCCCCTCTATTTGTATAACCCAGGCTGGCACAGCATAGATCTTTGTGCTCCCTGCCCCACCAGCAGCTCCTTCACCTAAGCAGTAGAGATCTGGACAGGATATTATTTCTTTTCCCTTAAAAAAATAACTCAACAAAAACACTTTTTGTTGTTTCCATTGAAAGTTTTTTTCTTCTTTGTGGTTTTTTTTCCTTCATTTTTTGATGAAAAACTGGCAGATGAAATTGTTGAAATATCGACTGCAGGAAACCAAAACATTTTCAACAAAGGAGGACATCTTTTGCAAAAACTTGTTGTCAAAAGAAGTAATTCTCTGTTAAAAAAACATTTTGATCGGCTCTACAGAGGTTACAGAAGAGTCTGCTACAACTACTATGTAGAGGACCTCATCCTATAGCTCAAGCTGTAGGTTCTTGTACTTTGACCGTCCCAGGTTCAAAACCCACTGTCAGCTCATGTAGGGAGAGTTACATATACTCCATTCACACTCTAAAAAGCTTGCTCACTCAATTCCCTCTTGTTTCCACTGCCCTGCTGTCACCCTCCACCACACCAAGCATCTCTCCTCCCCAAACCCCATCCAGACACACCCAAATGTATTATTTATCATTGTAATTGCAGCATCGTGTCTGTGTGCTGCTCCTGGTGAGTAAAAAAACAACTGAATTTACCATCCATCAGGGCAAGCCAGGCCCTGAGGGGAAAAAGAAGTGCCCTGATTGCATAGTGCATCCCCATCACCATAATTCAATCATTTAACTCCTGGTATAGGGAAACCCAGTAAGAGACAGCATAAGCTCCAAGCCTGCAGACTGTCTGATTTTTATTCTTTTATTGGAGGTGCCATTCCTGGATTCCTCTGATGTAAACTTGAATGCAACCATGGCCATGGAAATCCAGAAACAGGAGCTTTGGCAGAAGCAGTCAACCACCAACCAGGAAGGAGGTTCCTAGTTTTGCTACAGGATTAATCTCTTCCTCTTCCCTCCACAAGGATCCTACCCAGAGAACACCAGAAAGAACGCTATGGGAAGCACTGTATAACTCTCACCAGGGCAGCAGCAAAGGGCCTTGCAAGGACAATCCCAGCAAAACTGAACAGGAGAGAGGCAATCTGACCGTTGTAGAGGGGTGAAGAAGAAAGAGGACAGTTTGACTGAGGCTCAAGAAAAGAGACGGAGAGGAAAAGATGAGGAGGCATAAGGGGCGAGGGAGGAGGATGGGTAAGAGGCGAAGACTGGGAGCAGTAGGGAGAAGGAAGACTAGGGGAGAGTGGAGGAGAGCAAGCATAGGTGGAGACAGATTTTCCAGAATGGAGGTAAGACTGGAAAACACAAAGTAAAGGAAAGAAAAATGACAAGAGCTGAGTGAAAGAAAAAATAGAGCAGAGAGAAAGAAGAAAATTAGAGGGAAAACAATCCCAGGAGAGAAAAATTTTCAACACAAGAGAGACAAGAAGGCAAAAGTCAGACACAGAAACGGCTCCTTACAAAGAAGCTTTAACAATTTCAGGGAAAGAAGATGGAAGTGAAATGAAAAAGACTAGAAGAAAGAGGAGGAACCAAAGCTCCCACAGCTGCAATCAGATGGACATGGGCAGGCAACAGTGGTGCTCAGCACCGGGTTATCTCAAAGGGAGCACACCCACACTGATCCAACCACAGGATCATGGCCATGAGCAGGGCCAGATTAACCCACCTGTGGGCCCGGAGCTATTAGATTTTGTGGGGCCCCGTATACAAGTATTTTTCCTAATTTAAAACAAAATGATCACAATTATGGATTCGAGGCTATTAACGCTATACTAAACTTGCCTTTTCATTAACATAAAGCCGTTCTGTGGTTACATTTCAGTCTTAAAACATGCAGAATATAGTTAAGTTAATTCAAAATAGCCTACTTCTTACCTTAGAACAGATGTTACATTAGGCTACATCTACACTACAGGGGGGAGTCGATTTAAGATACACAAATTCAGCTACGTGAATAGCGTAGCTGAATT